ATAAGCGGAAGGAGGCCTCGCCAGCGATCAAAGGCCCCGGAAGGAACGGAGGGTCTGAGGCTGCCCTTTCACCCATGGCCGCTATTCACAGCCCTGCCTGCTCTGCCAAGTCCAGCCCGGCCGCCACCATCTCCGGGCCTTCCGCAGACGGAAGTACCGCCTCAGGCTCTGTCCCTAGCCCGGCGGGATTCCTGAGGTGATGCCACAGCTTCCTCCACGAAAGCTCTCGGTTCAGACCAACCAGGAACGAGGCTGTACCTCACGACGGGGCAGGACCCCAGCCTGACTCTCAGAGCCACCCCACAAGCCTCCCGAGCGTCTCGGGGAGCCAGGGGGCCGGCTGGGATGGACACGCATGCCCTGTGGGCCCCGCCCTGTCGAGTCCACACGAATGGCAGGCTCGGAATCAGACAGGGAAAAAGAAGTGGCTAGAACCACTTGCAGACCCCGCAGTTACAGAAGCCCTTGCCACCCAGATTGTAACAAGCCTGAAAAGTCACGGAGTCCAAACCAGAATGCCCTCTGACTCATCTTCCCCTCATTCGTGCAGCCCCAGCTCACGACCTATCCAAGGCAATGCTTCCACCCTTGGCCTGGCTGCTGTCTGAAAGCTGTTTGCTGCGCTCGGCCCAACCTGCCTCCCTCTACCTTCCTTCAACCAGGCTCAGCTCTGCCTTCGGAGGCCACACAGATCTTACCTGCCGCGTCAGATACAGAACAGTTCACTGAGACTTGGACACAGTGGCCACGTTCCCAAGTCTGGTCTTGGAAGCAAACATCCTGGGGAGAATCCTAGAGTTTCTAGACTAAAAGGGCCCTTGCCGATCCACTGGTCTAACAATGTTCTAATTTATTTCTTTCAGCAACAGAGCTTTCTGTGGAAGCCCGAAATACCAAATAGAAGCATCCGTGATTGGGGAGAGTAGAGACGCCCCCCAATTCACCCCCCTCATTAATTGTAAACACTCTAAAACTGATCCGGTTTTACCAAGGAGTATTTATTGAGCACCTACTATGTGCCAAGCACTTGTATTAGAGCTATGCTGTCCAATACAGTAGTCACTAGCTTCATATGGCTATTGAGCACTTGAAATGTGGCTGATACAACTGAGAAACTGAATTTTTAATTTTATTTGTTTTTAATTAATGTAAATTTAAAAATAGATGCAGTATAAGATATTTTTCCACTAAACACAACTTTATTATTCTGGTAGGACTACATTTAACTATCAAACATTTAGCATCCAAATTGACATGTCCTATAAGTATAAAATACACACCAGATGCAAAGACTTAGTACCAAAAAAGAAGGGAAAACAAGTCATCCGATTTTTTATATGGATTACATGTTGAAATGATAATATTTTGGGTATATTGGGCTAAATAAAATATATTATTAAAATTAATTCCACCTGTATCTTTTTATTTTTAATATGGTTACTAGAATATTTTAAATTACATATTGGCTTGCATTCTGTTTCTGTTGGATAGCACTGGGCTAATCACTTTCACATCCACCCTTATATCCGAAACACTCAGCACAGTGCATGTTTCTTTTTTAATTAATTAATTAATCAGTAGAGACTGGGTCTCACTATGTTGCCCAGGCTGGTCTCAAACTTCTGGCCTCAAGGGATCCTCCTACCTTGGCCTCCCAAAGCACAATGTTTCTTGAGTCTCTAAGACACACAGCTCAAACCATCTCCCCACTGCTTCCAGACTAAAAGTTCAGAGGACTTGGTCAATGTTTGAGCCACCCCAGTCTCTCTTTCCACCTCTCTCCCTTTCCGAATCCTGCCATACTGGTCTCTCCCTGCACGTGCTCACTGCGGGCCCAGCCTCGGAACAATCTCTCTTGCCTTTGATTGGAATGCCTTCTCCTTCTACCCAGCCCTCCAATGCCACCTCCTATGAGGAGCCCTCCCAGATCCTTTTGATCCAAGCTGGCCCCTCCCTGCCTTACTCTTTTCCCTTGGTGTCGCCTCACACACTGCCCTGCCCATCAGAGGGACTCTGGGCTTGTCAGTCTTGCCCACCACCCTCCTTCTGTGACTAGACTCTATCACTGCCCACTTCTGCCCTGAGGTCAGGGGAGGAGAGTAGCCTCAGGAAATGCCCACAGGACAAACCTCAAGTCCAAGTTGGAGACGACTACAAACCAGGGATCTGAGCAAGTGACTTCACCTTGCAAAGCCTCAGTCACCTCATCTGAAAAATGGGGGCAAGGATCCTACTGTCCTCTTCTTGGCCCTCTAATGCCTCTCTTACCCCATGACTCTTCCCTCAGGTTGCTTCCCTCCTGAGAAAAATGGTACCATCCTAGAAGCCAGCACCCTCGAAAATCCAGTCTGTAGCCTCCACAGGCCAGCCCTCCAGCGTGCCCGGCAATTTCCCAGCGTTTCCCCAGTGGCTGGTTCTCACTTTCTCTGCTCTCCTCAAACCTCTGACCTGCAGGTCTCCCTTGACTCTTGGTAGCATCCAACCTTCTGCTCAAAACTCTTCCCCACACCGTCCCCAAGCTCTGCCTAGCCCCAGGCTGCCCCACCTCCAAAGGGCCTCTCTGGGGGGCTGAGGGGCAACAGGTAGCCAGACAATACCAGGACACTGGGAGCTCAGGGGCCCTCCAGCTCCTCCAGACTCCCCATCCCACACCAGCTGTGGCTTTGCCAATGTCACAGAGCTCCCTGGGGCCTTGGTTACTTCCCGTAATAAAATCAGGGTGGCAATCTCTGCCTTTTCACCTCCCTCTGGAGTCAAGGAGATACAGAGGGAGGATGCGAAAGGCCAGGAGGGGGCACCATGCTATACTCCCCCCAGACACTTCCCTGACGTGACCAAAGGCATTTCTGCCCACACTTGTGCCCCACCATGTACACTCAGTGAGGGGAGGCCCTGGTTGCTGCTCGGGTCCCCCACTCTTCCCACTCCTGTAAGCTTCCAGCAGCATCAAGTCGTTCTCCCTTAGCCCACAGACCACAGACTGGACTAGCCCCCAAGTCCTCTTAAGGACCGGGACTCTACCGTAACTTTCAGAACTGGAAGGATCTTGAAGATCATCCAATCCCACATCTGATTCTTGATACACTTATGTGGCAGCCCAGCAAGTGGCCACCTAGTCTCTGCTTACATAACCCTAGAGATGGGGCACTCACTACCTCCCAAGGCATCTCCTTTTATCCCTAGATCATTCTCACATGTATAAAGTTCTTTCTCACATTGAGCTGAAATCCCCTCTGCGTCTGCTACACACTGGCCTTTAGGGCCACACGACGTGTCATTCCACCCCCCTTCCTTGTCAGCCCTCCAAACATATGAAGGCAACAGTCCTGTCCTGCTTATTCTGCTCTTCTTTGTGCCAACGCATCCCTAGATCCTTCAACGTCCCCAGGTGCTGTATCAGATTGTCCTCCACCCAGATTACACTCATCTGGGCGCATCCCTATTTGTCACTGTCCCTCTTTAAGACCAATAGCCCCAAATGGGCCACAGTCCTCAGAGAATGATCTGACCAGCACAGAGTGGTCAAGACCAACACCACCCACGTTCTGACCACCCTAGACCTTTTAAATCAGCTCGAGAGTCCAAACAGTGACTGCTGACCAGAGACGACAAGCCAATACCGCACTCCACAAACACAGTGAAACAATCCCCCCAAACCAGGACCTGTCCGTTTGGTGGTAAACATCAAATTGTATTTTTTTCTTTCTCCAAAAATCTCTGCCTGGATCCCTCAGCCCCTGAGGACCCTCACACAATCTACCCCTCCACTGTAATCCAAAATAGCCAGGCCCCCGGCTTGGGCACATCTGCTGCAAGTCTAGGCGACAGTGGGAGAAAAGATGACACCATCAACCCAGTAAACCAACAGAGATGGCAGCCCACTGCCTCCTGCAGCAACAGAGCATGCAGCCCACTGAGTTAAAGACTTGTGACATCTGCTCAGGAGCGGCAGGAGCAGGGGAAAGAGGCCAGACAGGTTCCGAAAGCCGTGAATCGTCCCCACGTGCCCCCCAGCTCCAAACAGAGGCCCCAGGCTCAGCTTCTGCGCTGCCTGGAACACGCAGACCACAGGCCAATCCACTGCTGGGCCGACTCAATTTTCTAGTTACAGATCTTAAGTACTTAGGCATGTGCTCACGAGAACACACATCCCTTACACGGAGCTGAGAAAGGGAATTGTGCCGAGGAACAGAATAATTGAATCAAGATTTCTGTCACGCTGCTCTCAGGCCCTAGACCACAGCCCCGGTTTTTTTCCTTCCTTTCCTGACTAAGATTTTACAGACTCCCAGGGGGTCGTTTCTCCTCTCAAACCCATTAATGTCAGCCAGCGCTGGCAGCCCATCCAGGGGAAGGGAGACTCGGATGAAGGTGCCCCGTATCCGGGATGGAGGTGGCCGGCTCTGAAGGCCCAGGAGGCACATGGCATGCCAAGGGGTTGAGAAAAACCAACCAGGAAGATTGTCATCTTTGTAATCCCCACGAGGCCCCCTGCGCTCCTTTCTTCCAGGTCCAAGGGCAAGGATGAGATGATTATTAATTTCCTCAATGCTCATCATCAGCAGGCCCGAAGGCCTTCTCTGTTGAGGGGCTGGCATAGCCTTTCAGACAGCCCCCCATCCCCGCCACCCGCCAGTGCCCCTCTCACGCTGGACAGGGAGGTGGCTGCTTGGCCCAGGCTCCCCCGCAAAGGGGACAGAAGCGTTGTGCTCGGACCCCTGTGAACTCTGCCCTCAAGCATCATATCTGCACACACAGGGTCTTCTTAAAGGCCACAGGGCTCTGCCAGGTCCACTTTCTCTAGCCAAGGGGTGACGACCGGGAGAGGCGAGCAAGGATTCCACAGTCCCAGCCTGCTGCCTGTCTGCCCTCGCTGCAGGGGCTGAGCCTGGGTCCGGGCACTCCTTGTGGGCCCCTTTGCTTCCACCCCTGACGGAGCACCTGAAACAGATCGCAGGGCCATCTGCGACAGGGCGACAGGGCTGCGTGGCGGCTCTTACCTTCGTCTCTCTTGCGCTTGTTGGTGTCGGCGCTGGGGGACGTGATGCCCAGGATGCCGCTGATGGAGTACGACGAGCCAGCTGAGTCCGTGCTCACCGACGACACCTGCGTCACGGAGCCCGTGGACACTGCGCAGAGGGAGAGGGGCCGTCAGGGCCTGCCGGAGGGCTGAGAGGCGGATGGTGCCCGGCACTCACTCACCGCACACTGGGCTGAGGGGAGCGAGCATGCGGGATGGGGGGACACTCGCCCTGTGGCAGCGGCCACACCTGGCCAAGGGAGCAGCTTTGGCCTCCGGCCTCAGACGTTTGCCCAGATTCTCAGCTGCTGGGGAGGAGGAGAGGCAGGATGGGCACAGATTGTGTAGAAAGGAACACAGGGACAGACCAGAAGGGCACCAGCTCAAATCCCCACAGGGGATGGAGAAGAGAAAGGGAGCTGAGGCCCACCACCAGCCAGTGCTAAAAAACCCAGACTACTCATTACACCTATTCAGTCTCTGCTGGCATATCCCCCCTTGCACACAGACTAAGTACCTGCGCACACTCACACACAAAGCCAACAAGCTCCAAACGGCAGATTGCCGCTTCTTTGCCCAGTTCCTCAATGTCTGTTCTCCTTACAGTTTATTTTACCTGGACTTGATTTTCAGTATTAATCATGATAATAATAAACATTTTCTGAGAGCTTACTCTGTGCCAGGCATTGAGGCATTATCTCATTTAATCCTGAAAATAACCTTATAAGCTAGGCAATGTTATTATCCCATTGGAAAGGTAAAAGAACCAAAGCTTGGAGAAGACGAGTGATTCACCCGAGATCATACAGCTAACAGGAAGCAGAGTGGTGATTGGAACCCAGAGACTAAAGTCTTAACCCCTATAACTCGTCTGTTCCTCACTAATAAATAATGAAGAACAATAACATACTTTGCATTTATGCAGTGCTTTTCTTTTAATGATTGCAACAGCCCAGAGTGCTATTATTTATCCCCATTCATCAAATGAAGACACTGAGGTTCCACAAGGTGAAGTGAGTCAAAGTCACCTAGCTAATATGCAGCAACACCAGAGCTCAGCCTCAGGTGTAAGGACTTAAAGTTGACATTTCCCCTGCCCAGAAACACGCAGAGGTTGGTGTCTTATTGTGACTGAGGCCAGGTCTCTAAGTTCCTAAGGATAAGAATGGGGGAGGGGACGTTTGTGCACGTTTCACATTCATTCCTGGCCTCAGAGTCCTAGGGAGAGACCAGTCCATTGTCAGGGTCCTCTCCAGCCATTCAGCTGAATCGCCATTTCTGGACTGTGGGGATTCTTTCCTGGTTTGTTAAAACCAACAGACACATTTCCTTGGGCTATAACTAGCAGGAGGCAGGTAGAGCAGCCTTTGACTCTGAAGTAGGAAATCACTAGAAACAGTGGCGATTTGGAAGCCCGAGCTTTCCTTGGAGCAGACTGAGCTCCTCACTCCTACAGACCTAGAGGGAACAGTGCCTTTCTTATCGTATTTCAGTTTGATTTCAGATCTTCCTTAAGCGACACAGAAGCAGAAATCGTTAACTTCTCCTTTTCTTCACCAGAAGCAGCTCCTCAAAATAGATTTATGCAAATCTCACAACGTTTTCTATATTAAGCTACAGAAAACAGAGGAAGAAAGAAGATCCCAGGTCACTTGGTACTTTAAACAACAACAGCCACATGTCACCAAGGCTCACCATGTTGCTGGCAGAGCTGATGACATTTGTTTCAGTCTTTTATGATTGCTCTAGGCTCAAAAGGCCCAGATTCCTGTACTGGCTCCACTATTTACTGGCAACATGACCAAGGGCGAGTTATTTCATCTCTTTCTAAGTTTCAGTTTCCTCACTCCTCAATAAGTTCTGAAACTCTAAGGGGCTATATACACGTGAGATATAGTTTTAATAAAAATGTATGGGTCTGGGACAAAACAAAACATTCTGCTGAATTACAGTAGAATTATTCCTCTAAACATTGAAAGAATATTAGCAGTCACTCCTAGTTTGATTTTCATTGTTATGTGACCTGAAATAGTTAAAGCCACAAGTGAAATCTCAGCCACACACACTCTCCCAGGAAGCTTTCTTCAACCCTCTTCACCCCAGCCCGACAAAGCTGGTGGTTCCCTCCCTCCTGCTTCCACATGGTTCCCTCCCTCCTGCTTCCATGGCACCCATCCTTTCTTCTTGTTTCGTCTCAGTGTTTTGCAAACTTCTCTCCATTCCATTCTCTTAGACTGAAAAGCCCTTGAGAATGGGGATCTTTGTCCTGCCTCCTTTGTCACATTGGTCTCCAACTCCGTGGTCTGCATAGCAGGGGCTTAGCAAACACTTTCTGAAGGGATTGCTTAAATGAAGAATTATTTCATGCCAATTCTGTCTTACCTTTATCCAGAGAGGTAACCATAGAGGATCAGAGACCTCACAGAGCACCTGGTTTGTGCCCCTCCATCCACAAATGAAGAAACTGAGGCCCAGGGAGATGAAGGGACTTCCACAGTTCACTGGGTGAGTTAATGACAGAGTTGGAACTATAAGCCAGACCTCTGCCTGCTCCCCATCACCACGGGGAGTCCAAGTTTTCAGTTAAAGAAGGAATGACAAAGGTGCAGAAACGTCACACAACCTGAGGTGTGATTATGCATTATCGACTGTGGCAACCAGAACAGTCAGAGGCTTGCTGAATGGTCACCCACTTTCTTGTAGTAGAATAACTTTTCCTCCAGCTAACCGGAAATGTTTCCTTTATCCCAAGTGAAGAAATAATACACCTTAAATAAACACGTCATTTTCACTTCTCAATCTTTGGCGGGAAGGCGAGGGAAATTTCTGAACTCTTGAGTGATCGGAAATGAAACTCCCACACTGACGAGTGACAGTCACTCTCAGACTTCACCTGCCAGCGCCAGCGCCCCCACGGGCAGCCCTTGACATTTCAGAACGTGAGAGCGAAGCAAGACAGAAAGACAGAAAGAAAGTTTGGGAACTTTTGCCACATCTTCACTCAAGACTGCAAGTGCACAAAGAATTATAGAAGGGCTGGTTGATAGAAGAAAAAAACACATTCAAAACTACTTACTGACTAATGATGCAGAAAATGTTATGAATAAGTATCCCTTTCTTGATTTATTACTTTAATTATCTGACATTCTATAGACCCCCATTAGTGGATTTTTTTTTTTTTGGCTTAGATTTCAATTTTCTGTCTCATGGTGAAAGCTATTTATCATAATAATCAGTAAAATTCAAAACCTTTTAGCAGTATTTATAAAATTCATTTACCAGGTTCAGCCCTTGGAGAATGACAAAGAAGGCGCATTAGTACGTGTGCCGAAGTGTTTTATGCAGAATTATCTGTCCATAAGAATGATTAAAAGTTCTTTAGAATATTTGGAGCCCATTAGATTTTTAAATTTTTTTTAAAAGTTCTTCTTACCTATGCTGTGACTGGAAGCTGGGACTGGCTGGTTGGGTGGCTGCTGTACTTTTGTCCGGATGATCCTGTGGGCAGTTGGGAAAAAGAAAAATGGCTATTTACCACGAGGTAGGAGAAAAGACCTCAACCAGCTACGCACAGACAACCAGAAAACCCATCCCCAAGCTGGGCCATGGATCAAGCTGGGCAGAGAGGCAGAGGTCGGAGGAAGATTATGAACTCAGGCTGGGTGTTAGGAGGTTGGAAGAATTACGGAGTAGTCCCAGCTCAGCCCCTATCTGTCTGGGTGTCTTTGGGTAACCTGCACCCCCTCTCTAGCCTTCAAGTGTCTCTTCTGAAGAAAGGGGATGATGTATTAACGTTACAAGTAGGCATCCCTTTCTGGGGTATAGCTCCAGCTCTTAGGGGACTCACTGAGTGACTTTAGGGAGTTCTTTCTCTTCCCTAGACCTCAGCCTCCCATCTGTGGAATGAAGAAATCGAACCAGGTGACCTCTCTGTCCTCTGACAGCCCTACATGCTAGTTCTCTGTCCTAGAGAACTCATAAGGAGGATTAACAGCCCTGCCCACAGGAAACTGCCAAGGGAGGGGTTGTAATGTTGTTCTGAAACCAGGGAGGGTTGAAGTGCTGCCAGGAGACACCTGGCTTGGCTTTGCTAAGAGGAAGCCCACCTCGCACAAAACCTCACAGAAAGGATTCACAGGGCTGGAGCCAGGGGTATCCCAGCCTGTCTTTCCAGAGGCAAACCTTGCTTAAGTTCTACTATGAACTTGACTGTGACCTTGAGCAAGTCCATTCCATTATGAGCCTCAATAGAATGAGGGAGTTGAAACAAGCCACTCTTCACTTGTTTTTAAGTAATCAAATCCTTTAAAAAGAAATCTTATGGGAAAGCCCAGTACCAGTATATAAAAGAGATAACAGCTGAACTGCCTTCCCTTAGCCACCTGGCAGCTCTGATGTCCTTCTGTATGTCCTTGGGCTCTGGGGAGCCTGGGCTGCAGACTTGCAGCTGGGACAATGCGTGGGGCCTTCACGAGACCACAAGCATCTTATAGCAGCAGAACAGGGCCAAGCCAAAGTCCCCTGGGATCTAGAAGAAAGTTCCTTCCTTGGCATTTGGGAGAAGAGTGGGGTCATAATAAAATGTTCAGCTCCTTTGTAAAAGTTCTTTTCCAGCCTCAAACTATTACCTTTTGAAAGGACATTTATTAGAGTTTTTCCTCATTATAAAAGTAGTATGTGCTCATTGTGGCCTATTTGGACAGCATGGAAAATTACAAAGACATCTAAAACCACATTTTGGTATATATCCATGATACCAACATTCCTATGCATATTTAGAAATATCCATTTTTCTCTTAACAAAAATCAGGATTAAACCATCTTTTAAACACAGTTTTGCATCCTGCTCTTTTCATACAACATTCTATGAGCAGCTTTTTCACATTCTAGACCATTATATCTGGAAGTTCATTTCAAGGCTGCACTGAGTCTCCAGCTTGTACAAAAGAAGGACAGAAGTAGCCGGTGCCTCCCCTTAAACTCACTGGGCCGTAGCTTCTGCCCTCTCTGTTCTTACGGCTCAGTGCTGGGCACCATGGGCACTCCGTGTCCTGGGCTGATAGCCTGGAATGAATTTTTCTGTTCACCCTACAGTCTAACCACACAGGCCCTCTGGTGCCCTGGCTCCTTGAGCTCAGCAAAGAAACTTTTGTGCTTAACTGTTACCACAAATACATTCAGGGTGTTTGTTTGTTTCTTTGTTTTCCCCAATATTCAAACCACTTATTTTAACTAAGCAAACTCGGAACGTATTGGACAAAGACCTGCGAGTGAGGTAGTCCTTTTGACCACCTGGAATTAAGCTGGCATCTGATCTAATTTTTGTATTTTTGTATATGTCCCTTCTCCGTAAGTGTCTATAGAGATATATTGCTAGATATGTGAATCTATGAATATATCAGATATAAATATAATTTATTTCTATATAAATATATAGCAAAATATGTCACTGTAGTTCAGCTTAAATTCCTAACTTTTCAAAGCAGTGCCTATTAAATTTGTACATAAGCAAAGAAAATTATGTTTTCCTCATTTAAAAAAATGTTTATAAATATCACTCGTAAAGCATTATTAATTGTCATAAACCATTGGGAGGCAGCTGCAGCATAGTGATTAAGTATACAGTCTCTGGAACTAGACTACTAGAGTTTGAATCCCATCCTTGCAATTTGCCAACTACATGACCTTGGGTAAATTACTTAACCTCTCTATGCCTCAGTTTCTTTATCTGCAAAAAGGGACTAAGAATCAGTCCTATCTCATAGGGTTTTTACTAGGATTAAATTAATTAAATGCTTAGAATAGGCCGGGCGCGGTGGCTCACGCCTGTAATCCCAGCATTCTGGGAGGCCAAGGCAGGCTGATTGTTTGAGCTCAGGAGTTCGAGACCAGCCTGAGCAAGAGCGAGACCCCGTCTCTACTAAAAATAGAAAGAAATTATCTGGACAACTAAAAATATATAGAAAAAAAAATGAGCCAGGCATGGTGACGCATGCCTGTAGTCCCAGCTACTCGGGAGGCTGAGGCAGGAGGATCGCTTGAGCCCAGGAGTTTTGAGGTTGCTGTGAGCTAGGCTAATGCCACGGCACTCACTCTAGCCAGGGCAACAGAGTGAGACTCTGTCTCAAAAAAAATAAAATAAAATAAATGCTTAGAATAGTAGATACTTTATAGTAAGTGATCAATAAATGTTAGATGTTATTTTCAGTGGTGTCTTCATAAATATTAATGACCAGCTTCAACCTTAAATTGTTCATATTTTTCACATTGGCCTTAAAAAGCACATGGGGTCCCCTTGGAAGCTAGGGAGGGGAATATAGCCATCCTTATGCCCTATTTTAAGGCTGCAGTGGGGCTATCATTTTGGGGGATCCAAGAATTATAAGGAACCCTCCAAAGCCGTCTCCAGGTATGAGAGATTTTGCCTACCTGCTTGCAGCAACTGCCAAGTCAAAACAAAGAGCATCATCTCCCATTGAGAAGAAATAGTAGTGGTAAGAACAAGGCTGTAGTAGAATCATAACAATTCTAAAAAAAACTAAAAATCAAAAATGTAAGCTACCATCAAGACTTACCATAGTAAGAGCATGCTCAGGGCTTTTTCTAAGCCAGAGATAGTTGGGGTAAATTGGCAGTCAACCCTAAAAGGCATATCCTTTACTTGGCTGAGTAAAAGCATGACTATGGATGCCATACTGTATGAACATCCTAGATTGTTCAACAGAGGAGAGAGCTCAGCAATCAAACTGTTCCTATGGATAAGGAAACTGAAGCCCAGAGTACTCAAGTGACTTGCCCAGGGTCACACAGTAAGTCAGCCCAGACTCCCAGCTCCCATGCCTGAGCACTTTTCTTTGAGCCACCTTCAAAGGAAGAAGTCCGTCTTCTAAATACTTCCTATGTGAGGCATAAAGCCTATTTGGATTCAAAATCCATTTAGGATTTGAGGCTTAAAATTCTGAGGGATTTTATGTATTACAGACATTTAAGGATCCCATGTAAACATCACTCCCCCTCCTTTGAAAGGCTAGGTCTTTTCCGAGGTCAGAGGGAAAGAAAAGGAAGCTCCGTGGAGGGATCGCAAGGGAAAAAAAAAAGAAAGAAAGAAAGGAAAGCTAGGTCTTCCACCACCAGCCCCCCACCATCCCTCACAAAATTACATTGAAAGAAAATCATGGTGCCTTGAAAAAGGAAGTGGGGAGATAAGGCTGAAGAAACACCCACGTCTAAGGCACTGATCAAAGTACCATCGGTGCAGTAAGAAGCTTGTCCATCAGCTATGCTGAGAATTGAAAAACCAGGGGGCCAACTGAGCCAAGCTGGGAGGGGACCCACAGGTGGCACGCAAACCTGTGACTGTCGTGGAGGAGAAAGGGGGAATGGGTCAATAGTCTCTGAAGGTTTACCACCAAAATAAGGATGAAGACCAGAATTAACAAATCATCTTCCCCAGGCCACGTCCAGCCACAACAAGGTTTGTTTGGCCTATACAGTATATTTACTTTTATTTGAATTAGTTACTAATATTTATAAGTTGGGAGATTTTTCATAAATACCTGATTTCTAGCTTTTCTTAAAAAATCAGAATCACATGACAACCAGTTGGTGCTTATTGTAGCTGCCCCCCTGCCCCAAACTGGGAATGCCACTCGTAGTCCCCATCACTTGGCCCCTGGGATTTAGAGCCACAGGGACAGAAGAAGGAAGACTCCATTCCACCCACTGTTTGAGCCAGCTCTGGGACAGCCACCTCCAACCGACACTCCGACTGGATTCCAAGAATCCCTCATGTGGGTCGTGCGGCATCCCAGCACGCATCTGTCCTTAAGACGTCAAATGAACAGGGTGCTTTGTTTCTCAGGAAATCTCTCCCAAGCCTAGCAGAACTAGTTCAGCATTGTTGACTCCCTTGTCAGTCATGGTCTCCCAGGTGGGTGCCCCTGAAGACAGCAGAAAAGCACACACTTCTAGGGGTGGACATGCAGAGGACCCCGTGACCAGAATAGCTACAAATCTGGCCACCACTCCCTCCCTAGCTGTTTGAAATAGGGGAAGAGTGAGAAGTAGCCTCCAAGGGAGGCAGGGCTGGGAGAGAGCTGTGGACCCTCTTACACAGTGGCATTTGCAAGGCAGGTACGTAGAAGCTACGTCCATTGAATGCAGTGGCAGCTTTACCTTCACATGGAAAATAAAACTGGATGCTGGGATGGCTCAGGCTTTCTGGGGGTGAGGGGTGGGGAATGCAGTGGCAGGAGATTGTCCCACGCTTAGTGAGCTGTCACTGACGAGTGCAGCGAGGAGTCAGGGAGTGCTCCCAAAGAGAAGCCCCTGGAGCACTGGAAAGGGCTAAGGGTGAGGAGGGAGTAGGCAGACAGGCAGCAAAACACGCAGCCTGCGAGGCCCTGAAACGGAGAAGGAAAGACTCCTGACTCCCCTTTGCCTCTCTTCTCGCAGATCCTCAGTGCTGTCGCTGGCAGAGCCCTACAAGACTGTGGTGGAAAGAGACAAGCCCTCCTCTTACCATCCGGAGACCCGGGCTCTCCTCCCATCTCTATCTCAAAGTCACTTTCCTCTGCACTCCCCATCTGGGCATCAGTGTCTGCCCCTGCCTCAGGGTAGAGTCAGGCCTTGAGGAGCGTAGGAGACCACAGATGTGAAAGCACCTTAGAGGCACGGCCAGCCGGGCCACAGCTTTGGACCAGGACACTCAAGAGGCCCTGAGGCTAGCATGGCCGCAGCAGCCGGCACTCAGAACCTGCGCGTGGCACGACTGCAGGCAGGGAGCATCAGCAGACGGGTGATTTCCTAGGCGCTCACCCTCTAGCCCCGCAAGGCCTTTGCCACATCTCTAACCACTGCTCTATTTGCCTCTTAGGTTTCTTTCACATAGCTTACTTTCTGACTTAAATAAATTTATTTTATAAGGCAATTGTAGTTCCCTACTATAAGGGTTGGAGGGGGGTATCAAGCGGAGTTTCACAAAGTTCACAAACCTACTGGTTTGGTCTGTTATTTATATTTTTCAAATACATTAAAATAGATTCATCACAAAATAATTTTCATCCTTACATTATGAAGGACATAAACCCGTGCTCTGGAAATGGGTTATGCTTGCCCCACAAGGCATTTTTCTATTGCAATCAGTTGCCTCCATTTAAAAATATAGAGATTTCACATACACGAACATATATACATACGTACACAAAAGTCCTGGCTTCTGGCTTGTCTTGAAGAATGGAAAAAGTCGGCACCTGTCTTATGCCTGGCCTGCTTCCTTCCTTACCATACCCGCCTGGCCCCAGGTAAGGCATTAGAGTTTGTGAGCCCCATGGACAACCTGAAGTTATCTTGCAACCCACCAATTCTATGTGCTCCCTACACTAGGAAACCTGTGGGCCCCCAAAGCCTGACCAGGGGTTTGGCCACAGTTCCCCCTGCCGAGCAGGCCAACTGCCTGTCATGTTGCTTTGTCACGGAAATCCTACACCGAGCCAGAAGAGAGAACTCACAAGACACACTGGAGCCCCTCGTACTCCAGAAAAAGAACAGGAGTTATTCCCCCACAAACCCACCACGAACATTTCTAGCTCCTCAGCAAACTTATCCAGGCGGCCCAGACTCCCAAGTGCATGTCAGAATCCCAGCCCAGACAGGAGGAGCCCCACTAGAAGAGAGGCTGAGAACTGTGTGCCTGATTCCCCTCAATTCCCTCTGCACCCTGCATGATGCCTGCATGAAACCTCCGCGAAGGTTTGCAGTTTATGAGACAGCCGGACGCAAAACGTCAACATGATGTACATGGTGATTCTGTGCGTTTGAGCCATCACGGAAGGAACAACTGCCAGGACCAGAGGGGATCTCAGAGACATTCTAGTCTGACCACCTCTTTCTGCCAGGGGTAAGTGTGCCCTGTGCCCAGACAGGCTCTGCACTGATGACGGACAGTAGGGTATAACCTTGGAGAAATGGGAACTGTTCAAGTTTTCAGTCTGCTGGCTTCTCCTTTCTCTGCAGAGTTTAAAGAACAATCATTTCTGTTCATGTCACAACTGCATCCTTGACTCTGGGTTTAAATGGAGTTGCGAATGCACCATCTACAATAGAAAACTTTCCTCCAGACATTTATTTTTAAAGCTCAGAGAGCGCCCTTTGATGTATCTTGGCTCAGACTGGAGAGGAGAGGGAGCCACTGTGGCCCCCAGGAAGATCCTGTGCCTGGCACCCAGGGTTTTCTCTGGTTCTTTCTCTCCATGTGTGAGATTCAGTGGAGTTGAGGAGAGGACAATCCCCTACCTCTAGAGCATCTTAGCATCCTGGACAACACCCTTGGGGACTGAAGACCTGCATCAGAACCACCAGGGCCCCGGGCTCTTACAGAGAGGAAGAATCTTGTCAAGGTCCCACTTCAAGCTTGCGGCAGAGCTGGAACACGAAGCCGAGTCTCCCAACTCCAAGGCAGGGCTCCGTTCCCCTCACTCACTGGCTCAACCCCTGCCCAAACTAGAGGCAGGATTTTGTTCCTGGGAACCTCTGAGATGAGCCAGTGCTCAGACTTTGAGCCCAGGCTTGCAGGGACAGTGGCATTTATGAGGGCCTAGTCAGGACGATTCACTGCAAAGTGCTCCATACGTATAGGTGGGCAGTGAAAGAAGGGATAGAAATCACTCTGGGCTCAGAAGAGTCTCAAGCAGCCTGGCTGTTGGCATGGCCCCCTCTCTCTGGGCCTAGGACTCCTATCCACTTTGGAGAGAAGGGAAAGGTAACAGAAACCCAACAGGCCTTGTGAGCAACCCCTCCTGTCCAATAAGCCCTAAAGGGACTTGGCGAAAGCAGAGACCAGATTTCAGGGAAGGCACACACAGAACCTCCAGGACCCCCACTGCCCCCAGATCCCTAGCCACCCACAGGCACCAGCGGCTCACCTGTTGATGGAACTGACGCTAGGCACCGTGTCATTGTCACACACCCGCTCCGCCAGCAGCCGGTCCCTTATCTCCCAGGCAAACATGGTAGGATTTTGGCGTTTATACTCAGCGATTTTTTCCACCACTTTGGGTGTGGCGACCTTTGGTTTGGATCCTCCAATTACCCCAGGCTTGATGCTTCCCGTCTCATAATACCTAGGACCCAAGGAGAAAGGAGCTTAGCCATGGGGAACCAGCGAAATGAATGTTGGCAACAAAATAATGGGCTATTCTCTCTAGGAAACATGCAGATCTGATTGTTCCAGTACAGCAGCCACCAGCCATATGTGGCTTTTGAACGTCTGACATGTGGGTAGTCTGGGCACAGTGGCTCACACCTGTAATCCCAGCACTCTGGGAGGCCAAGGCAGGAGGATCACTTGAGGCCAGGAGTTCAAGACTAGCCTGAGCAAGATCAAGGCCCTGTCTCTACAAAAAAATAGACAAAATTAGCGGGGTGTGGCACACACCCATAGTCCCAGCTACTTGGGAGGCTGAGGCAGGAGGATCACTTGAACCTAGAAGTCTGAGGTTGCCGTGAGCTATGATGATGCCACCGTACTCTAGCCCAGGTGACAGAGTGAGACCCTGTCTCAAAAAAAATAAAATGTGGCTAGTCTGAATCAAGATGTGCTATAAACATAAAACACACAAGATTTTTAAAACTTAGTACCAAAAAAAGAATATAAAATATCTCATTAATAATTTTTATATTGGTTATATATTGAAATGATAATTTTTAGATACTGGGTTAAATAAAATATATAATTAAAATTAATCGTACCTATTTCTTTGTACTTTTCTTAATGTAACAGTAAAACTAGAAAACTTTAAATTGCATATATGGCTCACATTATATTGGTGTCAGACGGTGCTGACAGGAGGCTATGCATTAACAAAATTCTTTCACATTCATATACCAGTTTATAGTCCACAGAAAATTTGCAAGTCAGTTTTCCCATTTGATCTTCAACAGTGCTAAAGCATATAAATTGTTTTGAATGAATGAATGAAGGAATGAACAAATAAATGAATAGGTCCCCATCTACAGGTCTAAAACTGAGATTCATAGAGCGTGGACAGCTTCCCTAGGGTCACACGAGACCAAGTGGCCAAGCCAGGACTGTGGCCCAGCCTCTTGAACTAAAATTTTCCCAGCAAGGTGGCTTATACTTTGATTTGCCGGTTTTCCCATTCCATAGCAGAAACCCCAGCATTCTGTGAAACTGCCCCCTAAAATGTAACTTATTTTTCCCTAAGAGAAAAATAAAAACCCTGGTGTAAAATCAAAAGGAGTGTTGGATTCCAGAATTAACTGGAAATGTGTGTTGTAAGTCAAAACCCAAGCAATCAGAAAAACCAACCACAAGTCGTGGCAGCTCTTCCAGGGATCTCCCCTGAGGTAAATGGCTGTTTCTAAGGACATTTCCATGCTATCAGCTTTTCCTCGTTAACGAAAATAGGATGTCAGGGTTTTACAGTAAAACCGAGACCAGGGAGAAGAGTGCCATGAAAGATCATTTCAGCGGGAAAAAATGACTTGATTCCTTTTTTGAATCTGAGCTGTCCCTGGATGTCTCTCTCAATATTTACAGAGGAATTCTTGATTTCCTCTTCCAAAGGAGATTATGTTGCAGTTGAATTTTTTTTTTTTAACCAAAAAGACATTTTAGAAATGACTGGTAATTTTCAAACCTAACAAGAATGTATAATAGGTAAGGGAATGAGGTGATTCCGAGACAGGTGGGAAATGTTACCCAGGAACAACAATTGGTCACATTTACAGAGATGCTGAAATCCTCAGTCTACGTAAGTCTGGCCAAGTTAGTGAAGACTCTAGAAAAGATTAAATAATTTGGGAGCAGTGATGTGGAAGTGAAAATTCTATTTTTCATTGAGAAGAGTGAGTCACTAACAAATTTTGACCACAAGGCAAAACTCAACCTATCCTCCCTCTTTCTAACATATTGCTTTCAGCAATTTTTCTGTAATTGCTGAAAAATTTATTACTCACAAATAGCTCTTTTAAAATATCCAAGAAAATACTTTGTTGCCAGAAGCCTAGAAAAGTACTTAAATCAGGGCACACCGCAATCTCTGCAGCCTCCAATTGTTCTATCAATTTTATAATAGAAAGTCGATTTTTACTATAACACAACTCATTATTAGGCACAGCACTCTAAAGTATACAGAACACTTCCTCAAATTATCTTGATCCTCCCAATAATCCTGTGAGGCCACAGAGCCTTATAGAAGGGAAAATAAATGATCAGAAAACTAAGTGACTTGCCCAACTCCCTTCTGTAGGTTAGAGGCAGCCCCAGCTTTCCCATCTGACTCTGAGCAAACTGCTGCTTCGGTTATAAAACTTAAAACAGTGATACTAATGATCCCTCGCAACTGCAGAGAGCTGTACTCTTCACCAGGCATTTTCATATGCATTTTTTCATTCCGTCTGCCACTCAATCAAGTCACCAAGTGTCTGTGAGGGCAGACACAATCTCAAGGAAGGGGTTACAGACACATGGACGACCCTGAGCTGGATACCCAAAACATGTTAGTTGAATGCGACATTCACACTGCAGCTCTGAAAGGGCAGCAGGATGAAGCCCCCGCCTCCAGCCCTCACTTACATGTTTGGTGGGTGACAGCACCCAGGCCTCTCTGCCCATCCCACCTGAGCAGCGCCAACCGGGAGAGGCTCTGATTTGGGCGTGAGAGGTCTCTGTCTTCCTTTTGACTGACACATGGGCCAGGCACTTTGAAGGCAACCCTGACACTCCTGAAACCCCAACTCGAAACTGTGTCACGTGAGGATTCAGATTTAATAACTATCCTTTCATCTCAGCAAAACAGCCGTGCAGCCCTTTGGCTTACAGACAAAAGACGAACAGCACCCACCAACACACGGCATCCTTCGGTGCAAAGAGCATTTTAGTTTAGCAGTCAAGAGGTGCAGGTGCCAGTCAGTGGCTCTGACACTAACTCGCTGTGTGATCTTGGCCAACTCAGTTGGCCTCTCTAGGCCTCAGTTATCCCATTTATATAACAGAGGGAGGATGTTTACCCTGCTTGCTTTGCAGGGCTATTGTGAAGACAGAAATATAGAAGGTTAAGAAAAAGCTCTGCAGAACAGAAAATAAAGAGCACGTGTTGAGGATTAAAACCCCCTGAGTGTTTATTATTACCGCGTAACATACCACCCAATTCCAAATGACCTGAACCTCCCAACCAGACTCCAGTGAAAAAAGAAAACAGCTGAGCTCCGGGTGGATTTAACTCGGCCTCACATGCCACCGAGCTGCATCTCTCAAGCCCCTCCGAAGCTTTGGGCTCTGTGGACTGAATGCCCACACTCCTGGCAGACCGCCCACCTTCCTGAGATGACGGTGGTCCCTGCCTACCCCAGGGACTTTGCCTGCCTTGCCACACAGCCTCTGAAAACCACAGCCACCACACACCACATGCTCTCTGCAATCTGTCACCTCCTGTACACCCATCAAATTCTTCAGTGACCAAAAAAAAAAAAAATCTGCGGATCGAACAGCCCCAGTTCAGAAATTCCCAGTCACTCTGTTTTAGGGCTGAACTTGTTTCTTAAAAGGCAGTTCTAATTAGAGTGACATTTTGTCCACTGTGGTTCTTAGTTATGAAAATAATGAGCTATGAAATTCCAATTTATTGTTGACAACTTAAACGGCCAGGCACCGGAGCGGCACGTAACTTCCGAGTGCCATTCTACCTAGTGACAAATCTATTCTGGGCTGCGGAAGGCTGCCAGCTGGGTTTGGAAGGGTCCCTGTTCCCCTCTGTCTCCATGAGAGATTTGGAGGTCTCCAGAGCACCAGAACACCCAGCATTTGGATGTCCCCTCGGAAAAAGTCTCAGTATCCTGCCCTGAGAAGATTTCAAATAGCGAGCAAAATGTCGGCTCAGCAAAGATGTCTCAGCAAAAACAAAGGAAGGGCCTTCTTTCTCTCTCCCTCTCCCTCGGTACAATAAAGAGGCTCCACAAAAAGATATCTAAGAGCCATTCAGCTCTAGAAGTCTGATGCTGAGATACTCTAAAATATTTTTCTCTTCTCTCTTTCTCCCTCCTTCCACCTTATTTGTCTTCATTTTTCTATCTCTATTTCTCTTTTAAAAATCATTTTCTTTTCTCTTTCATTTCTTCTCTCTTTTCTCCATCCTCTCTCTTTTACTTTTCTTCTTCTACTCTCTCATCCTCTGTCTAAAACAACTGTCGAACAAGAACACTACGTTGATGTCCTGTGTTCCTCCCTTCCCTGTGTCTGGGGCTTCTTTGCTTGCCGTCTGCTAAGCAGGAGTGGAGACCGCAGCCCGCACAGCTGAAGGGACCTGCACCCGGCCACAGAATACGGAATAAAAGCAGGGATCGAGGTCCCTAAAGGAACTGCCAGACCCCTGGCCCTGAAACTTCTTCCCTTGGCCTCTAGTAAGGTTATTAGAAACTGTTGCTCCCTCCATCTGGAGAATTTCCTGAATTCCCGCAGATGGAAGGAAAAGTGCAAGCAGAAAGTCACAGTGTCACGGATACACTTGAAAATATTTATTTTCTATTCAGGCATCTGTTCTCAAACCGTAATGCAAGCTACAGGACACAGGTTGTTTTCTGACCCAGGGAAAGACATAGAAAGAAAGCATGGAGCAGCTAAACCCGAGAAATGCTCCTGCCTGCCAGGGCAGACCTATGACAACATCACACGCCTGGAAACAAACCCGTGGCTTTGTGTTGGGAGGTGGTGAGACAAGGATGGTCTAGGCGTCCTTTAGGCCTCCCTAGGTTTGTTTCCTCATTTTAAAACACGCTTCGCTGGATCATGCTGAGGTTATTGAGAAAATAAATGAGAGTGCTAAAAGCCCTCTGGGAGAATCGTCATTGTTAGTATTTTGCTTGCAGCAAATCGCCGGGTCAAGTGGCAACTTTCAAATGTCAGATTTGAGAGTTAGTGTTTGGTTTTTTTTTTTCTCCTCCCTAATTTAATGTATACTTAGGATGCCTGTCACTATGAAGGAAACAAAATGTAGAGAAGGAAAATACTGCAGCCCAACATAATAAGGTTGCTAATAGCCAGCCCAAAACTAAAGATGACAGCTGACTTTTAAAAGTGGAATGTGGTTTTTGAAAACATTGAAATGAAACATTGAACTCTGGTTGTGTGATATTATAATTTAAAGATTTTCCACCCAGTCCTCGCTGACCTAAGATATGTAGGGGAAATTCCCAAGAGCCTCTTGCTCTTGAGTTCTTTAGAACAATTCACCAGGCTTTCAGAAAACATGCCGTCCCTCCTGACTAGGTCACCCCATTGCACATGTCACTTGATACAGGGGTTTCCCAGGGATACTTTGAATTGGATGGCCTCAAAAGGGCTTTGCAAACTCTAAAGTGCTATGCGTGTGGAGCAAAACGCCGCCATGATTCTCACTATAACACTGGCACATTTGACAGTTGCCGGGTCATGTTTTAGGTCTTTATTTGAAAGATCAAGGGAAGCCTGGAGCTCCTGCCTTTACCTGCCAAGAATTTTGCTGACACAACCATGGCTGACCCGAAGCTGCCTGGAGATGTCGCAGGGCCTGACACCTTGATGAGCAAGTTCCACTATCCTTTGGCGGACTACATCCGGGAGTGGCCGTCCATTCACAAAAACCCCCCCAAGCTGATTCACTCCTCCATGTCCTGAAATAGATCAGAAACAAAAGGAAAGGGAAAGAGGGGTTAGAACGAGTCACATAGTAGAAGCACCGCTGTGAGCACCCAGTGCCCCTCTGATCGCAAATGGCTGGCAGGCTGGAACTCTTGTGCCTGGAGTCCTCTTGTGCAGACTACACAAGGACCCCAGATTGCTTTTTAAAATTAATCTTAGCCTTTGTCCATCTGCAGCCAGTCAATTGAGCTATTGACAGCAAGCATCCCCATACTAGGTTTCCTTTAGTTATTAGCATTTATTTTCCTTATAATTTTTTTAACAATGAAATGTGTGAAGACCCCAATCTATACTAAAGGGGCATAACTTATTACATGATTCTGAGGTCTAAGGAAAATCCTGGGGAGAAAATATGTTTTAGAAAACATAAAATTTAAAGAGAAAAAAAGGAAACTGTTTTCCTTTTAACAAATATCTTTAAAAGTGAAAGGGACCACTCCAATAAACCTGTATCTCAGAAAAAGATATTTTTAATCATAAATCTAATGCAAGAGCGAAGGACTTTAAAAAAATTTTTTTAGACAGCCTGTGCAGAGTACTGAGGAAAAAACCCAACCACTGCCCTTGTTAAAAACCCTTCCTTTAAGAAGGTAAGGCTGACATGTAGACTTGACCACTGTACCTGCTCAGAGCACACAAAAGAAATGTATCATAGGATCTTCTACACACAGCACACTCCACTCCACAGCATCAGATTTGTTATAAAGGAGTTTCCCTGGAATTTCTGGAGTGTTTTACGATTGACAAACAGCTTTAATTTGGTTTGGGGGAAATAAAGAAGCCAAAGAAATCTTCGAGTCCCCGGTTTTACAAGAGCCCTGGGATAGATTTTAAGGAAATGAAGTGTGGAAAAGTGCCTCCTCCACCTATATGCTCCCTTTTCTTACATCGAGGTCCATCTGGAGGGAAACAGGGACCCAAGGAAAATGAAGACCAAGTAAAACCACTAGCAAACATAGAGTGATCCAATGTAGCAACATCATTGACCTTACAGCTATCAATCAGCCACTAACTGATATTGCTGAGTACTGGAACCAAAAGCCAAGTCCAAGCATGTATTGATGCTGCTGGCGGCTCAGAGGCCAAGGAAGGAGAAACCTCCTCCTAAACCAGGACTGGGCTGGGACTGGACTGTACAAGGGATGCCAAGGCATGTCATAGGTCACACACTCAAATACACTCCAACTCTAAGACATTAAATAGCTGACTCATCTCAGCTGTTTCCCCCAGTACTCAGCTACTACTCACCTTCATGAACAACATATGATACGGAGGGGGCAGAAACAACCAGAACATAACCTATTTCCTAAAACCTGTCCAAGCAATCCACTGAAGTTTCCCATGAATGTTTTCCCAAATTTCTAAGTTTAGGCTTATGTCAAGGAAAAACATAATTTTACAGATAACTGCAGTACTTAGTTCAGTTCTAAGCTGAATTTCTCTCAGATTTTCAAAATAAGCTTTAATCAGTTTTGATTGTTCTACAACACTCTAGACATAAGAAAAAGGAAAATCATTCCAAACAAGATTTTGCAGTCATGAACACAACTGCATAATTTACCTAAAACAGAAAGACTGCAGTTACCCTCATCAAGAGCTTTGTTCTGGGGCTGGGAACATCTAATAAAAAAGGGTTATACAAATCTTCCAGGAGCAGACTGGATTTAAGTAAAAGAAAGTAAATTGAAAATTGTTATGAGCTCATCTGGAAGGACAAGGGGGAAAGAAGGCTAAGACACCTAGCACAGTTTTGAGATAACCTGGGAATCCAGGTATTGTGGCCCATCTGCAATAGCCTCTTCCCTATATCACTGGCAGTTGAGACTTTCTGCCTAAAACACAGTGGTAACTTTCAGAGGACTTAAATTCCAAAAGTAATCCTGCAGGATATTTATGAGCTTTGGGGGCTATTTTGCATCATAGGAAAAACCCCAAGGGTCTCCTAGAGCCTTGTCTTTGTAGGTGGCAATAGCCCCCAAACCCTCTATCCTTGACCACAAAGGCTGAATAGCTAATGCTCTTCCAGAGACTGATCTATAGGTTCACAGCTGACACCAGACCCAGGGTGACCTCAGAGCCTCTTACCCGCCTTAATTTCCTGGAAAGGCTCCCAACCCCACGTGGCCCTCTCTGCCTTGGTCACAGTCCTACCCAATAGAGCTCTTTGAAGGTAATGGTGAGAAGAATTACAACTGTGGTCTGAGGAAGGCCACTTATTCTGGGATTGGGAGGAAGTAAAGCCCAAAGTCTTAGAGAAGGGAGGCATGGGGAAAGAAAAGAGGAAAAAAGAGGTGTGTGGAGAATGGTGCAAGGGTGGGGACTAAATGAGACAGACAGCAAGGAGAGTGCCTGGAAAGGAAACAGCAGGCTAGGCAGGCAGAGGAGAAGAAAAAGGAATGGAGAAGCTAGAATGGGCCAAGAAAAGAAAGGTGAACGTGGTACACATTAGGAGGCAAAAAGAAGAGAAAATGGAAGGAGCCCAGGAAGGGAGCTTCCAGAGGATAGGGGACTCCTGTAGAGGGGATTTTTGTTTTCTGGGACCCCAGCTCCAGTCCTGCTTAGGTTCTCCTTGAAGAACCTAAGTCCCAGCCCCTACTTCCCGTGGACCCCAATTAGGTGAGCGCTCATCCCATGGAAGGGTGCCTGGAGAAGACTGGACTCAGCTACACTTTTCAAGGCCAGCAGAATTTAGAGAGACTGACACAGAGACAGTTGCAAATGAATCAGATGAAGACCGGAAACGGGAAACAGATGGACAGATACATGGGAAACAGACCAGCCCCACAGGGCAGACTAAGCAGGGTTTAGTGGGGGATGGGGAGAGAAAGATTGAATTGCAGATGCCCCTGGGGCCTTTATGGCTCTGGTCTGGAAGGGGCTGGCCTCCATAGATGCTCCTCAGGCTCTGATATGAACATGCTACCCACCAGGGGCCCTGCCCATACCCCAAAGACCATAGCTGGGCTTAGGGTCTTGGGGGATGGCTCTTTGCTGACTCAGCCACAGATTGAACTCCAGGACCCACAGGATCATTGAAATTCCTCCTAAGATGCACCAGAGAAAAAGAATGAAGGGGCACACAGACACGCAAACAGGAGTGCAGGGAAAGGGCAGGGATGAAATCTCCCTAATGGACTCTCCAATGGATAGACAGGTGTTGGCACACATGGACAGTCAGGCCGTGGACACAGATATGGTTGGACTAGACAGAGAGAGAGCTTTGCACATGTGTACTCACTTACATAGTCCACTACCCTCTCTCTGGAATCTGAGTACTTCTCTCTCTCCTTCCATCATGAATCCTCAGAAGTATCGTTTTTATGCCTTTGTCAAAAAGTCTGGGAGACCCAAGAACCAGCCATGGCTTTGCCCATGTGAACTTCCTATTAATCCTTTTGTCTCTCTAACCTCAGTATCATATTCTGTAAAATGGGTATAGCTAAAGATTCAGGCAACACTCAGGTAGGACACTGGCTGCAAAAGTGCTTTGTAACTGGTAAAGACACCTAGGGGAGGGAAACATCTCAGGAGGGGGGCAGGAGGACATGGAGGATAAGAATGATAAGCCTTGACTAGGGGGTGGGGGCACCTCAGAACCCAGGAGCCCATTCTTGGTAGTGCCTGCCCCTCCCCATAGAAGCTGTCCTGCTTCGAAGCGGTGGGGAGGGGGTAGAGGCGGGGAGAGGTGACAGGAAAAAACTGACCAGGGCCAGGAAAGATGAGGAGGTGGGACTTGGTCTGAGCCCCTACTATCCCAGCCACCTCCCAGGATCTACTGTACCCCCCATCTCCATTGCCAGCAAGTTGGGGCCCCCAGAGCAGGCCTACATTATGCAAGCAAACGGCTTTGGGCATCAGAACCGAGAGTGCTTCCAGATATGCCAAGGGCTCAAGGCTCCTACCAGCTCTGGAGCTAGGCTGGCTGGGGCCCAGCCCCCACTATGCTGCCAGGGAGATTGAAAATGGGAGGGAGCACTTCCCGAGGAGGGGGCAGATTGAAGGCCTGGACAAGGAGGCACAGACGTTAGCAGTTGGCTAACCTGCACCTGGAAGAAGCTGCCTTCTCCACGCTGATACACAGCCCAGAGACCTCTGGATCCGATGCTATCCCCCCAAGGGCCAGGGCATGACCTCTGGGCTGCAGAGCTCTGGGCAGAAGGAGGCAGTGAGAGCTTGTGGATTCCTGCTGGCGAGGAAAGAAGTGCAGGGGCTGCTCCTCACCATCTTGTCTTCCCACTCACTCTTGGATGAGCCAAGGGCTTGCCCACATCTCAGAGTATTGCCCCAATTCGTTTGTTTTGGGGCACGCTCCACAAGATCAGAGCCTCCCCAGACCTGGGCTCCAGACCAGCAGGAAAAGGCTGGGGAGGGTGCTGGGGTCACCATGGACTGGAAACCGTTTGGGTACAGGCCCCAAAAGGTGAGGAATCGTTTGGGCTGGGACCAGAGCAAGTGCCTTCTCTGCACAAATCTCCCCATCGCTTTGGTGGATTACTTCGGACTCGGGAAATTGACACAATGAGAAACTGACCTGCCCGCAGCCAGCCCAGCTGCCTAGACCAGTCTTTCTCTGCTTGCCGGGCCATTCAGCCCTTCGTGGCAGACACGGACATACACGCCGGGAAGCTTGCCTTCTCTCCAGCCGGGTCTCTGCAGCCTTTGTTAAATAGGGGACCCATGGCTGGGGAAGCTGGATTCCGGGCTGCCCAGGGGAAACCAGGCTTGGGGAGGGCTCCCGGCTCCGGAGCAACTCCCTGACCTGCAGCCCGCAGAGAATCGAGCTGGTCACCCGACTGGAGGCTGCCAAAGCCTGGCGCCTTCCTCCGGTCCGGCTCTGCAGCGAGCAGAAGGGAAACGCGATTCGTTACACTTGGAATTTCCTTGAAATCTCCGAATCTAATCCGGCGTTAACTCACCGTGAGAGGAGCGCTCATCTCACAGGAGGCTGTGCTAATGGGTGAACTGGCAGGAT